TGGGGAGGGTAATCAGAAGGTCACCAGTTCAAATCCCTGGGTCGGCAAAGTGATGTCACTGTTGGCCGCCCCCAGCCAAACCCTTTACCAGTTGCTCCAGAGACCCTGCTTCCTCAAAAATATACGTCACTTTGGATAAAAGCTTCTGCTAAACAAACAATATGTAAATGAGACCATCTGCTGTGATCGCAGGTCCTTCATGCCGACGGGCTGTTTCGACACGATCATGTTACACAGTGAAGATGAGTTATAAGTGACCAGGTTAAAGGAGAATGCATCAGTTTCTGCATTCATACACACCCAACTTTTCCAGAGGTAAAACAAACACACCACGGGCACACAGGCACGTGCACGGACACCTGCGGGGACACACAGGGGTACATACACAGACACGCGCAGGCACGTACATGGACACCCGTGGTCTCCCACCACAGAGATGCGGCCCATTTTGGGGGGGCCGTGATAGATCCCTCGCTCTGTGTTTTGGCAGCTTGGGTCAGGAATCCCTGTGAAAAGAGACACCGCTCTGCAGGGGGTCCTCATGCGGCACGGTCATGGCGTACCGCTGATGTCAGCGCAGACCCCCGCGGCCCCCAGACGCCCGGATGCGGGCCTCCCCTCTGAGGGGATGAATGGACCACTGAGCGCCACCTGCACCCTCGGCTCAGCAGGCGTGACTCACCAAGCGCTTTTATCTGCCGACCTGTGTGGCCGCTCCCTGCCTGCTGGGGGCGTCGCAGCAGAGTCCCGGCTCCTCGCTGACCTCTGACCTCGCAGGTGTTTGGTGTGAATCCCCAGGCATAAGTGCTGATCCGTGTGCCCCCCTGTGAGTCTGGGGTGGAGTGTGGGAGGGGTACCGTACCCAGCGGGAGCCCGCAGTGCGCTCTCACCCCCCCTTCCTCTAACGCCAGCCTTCACTTCCTGTTTTCCAGACTCTTTGCATGGCTGCCTCGCCCGCCTCTCCTTCTCCTGCCCCCTGAAGGGCTCTTACTGTCTCTACGCCAAGTCCAGCTTCTCGCTGTGCAGTTTCCAGCCACGGCTCTGGCTGCAGCTCATGCTGCTCTTCCTCCAGGTGAGCCGTGCTAGAACCTTCCGGAAGGCCCCGGAAAATTAACCAAAAAAAAGAAGCTTCCCCTCAGTTTGTCCATGGCTACTGTTGGATGTTAAGCACTTAACTCAAAGGTACAATGGCACCCTCCCCAGGGGAGCCTTTTGAAGTTTCCGCTACGCCAGGACGTGGTGTCTGGTCTCCCCACCTCCCAAGCCTTCTCCACTGTTCCAGAGCAAGGCCAAGGAGCCTCTGGCATCAGGAGATGAAGCCGTCTGCCTCCTGGACGCCCTGTGGGAGAAGACCCAGCTGACCGGAGCACAGAGTTTCGAGAAGACTGTCACCCAGGCCACGTTCCCCCACAAGAAGGTATGTTACTGCATCCATCCGTCCCTGGGGCCACCAGACCGCTCGCTCGGGCTTTGGCCAGGTCATGTGACCTCGAAAGAAATGAGCGCAAAGGGGAACCTGGTTGGGTTCAAATGTTCTTGAACTCCAGCTTGTGAAATGCTGGCAAGAATGGAGTGGAAATGCTGGGCTAATAAAAGGTGGCTTGTAAAACCGAAAGTCTCCCCGCTAACGACCTCTTGGCCGAGTCCGTCTGCTGATTTACCTGCCTGCCGCTTGACTGGCAGCTGATGGCGGTTATCGTTCTCAGGGACATATGGTCCGTGTTGAGCCGACCCTGCTTGCCTTGTCAGGCCTGACCGCGTCCCTCGTCCGTCTCAGTTTTACGTGCTCTCCTTGTGGTGGGGCCAGACTCGACCCCGACGGCCCCTCTGAACGGCCACCCCCGCCGGCGGCGTTTACTCATACGAGTCCTACTCCTGCTGATAAGGAAGATGGCAGCTGCTTCTGCTTCTTTAGTCTGGAGAAGAACCCAGACCCCTGGCTAAGAGCATGCAGAAAGGGGTTTGAGATACGGGTATGCAGTTACCTGTTCTGTCCGCCGTCTATTCCGGAAGGAAAGCTCCGCCCACAGTCCTAAGTACGCTCCCGGTCTCCTTTGAAACATTTAGCATCGAGGGGGAACCTGGAAAATTGTCAAACCACCAGGCAATAGAGAGGCCTTCTCTCAGAATGTGGTACTGCTTCACGCCCCCCAAGGCCTAAGAATTCTGGGAACTAACACAGCTACGGGGAAGCCCACCCCCACCCCCCACAGCAGCTGCGATCGTTTCATCCTAAATTCAGCAGTGCGCCCTAGAGCTTTATGCATTGTTGACAGTGAAGTGTTGCTTCCTCGGAAGGCGTAGGTTTGGGAAAAGCAGCTGCAGGAGGTCTTCATCAGAATCAGAATCAGAATCAGAATCAGCCTTTATTCGCCAAGTGTGCTGGGGCACACAAGGAATTTGTTCCGGCAGCTTGAGACTCTCTCGTACATAGAGACACTATACAAGCTATACAACAATAAATGACACTATACAACAATAAATGACACTATACAACAATAAATGACACTATACAAACAAACAATAAATTACACTGTACAAAAAATTACAAGTGTGAAACATATAATATTATATACAAGCCCACGTGGGTAACATTGTGCATTATTAAGGTACGACGTAGAGTGTAGACAGGGGGGGAAATTCATGGAAGCCTCTCTCTGCGACTGTTGGTCAGGTGAAGCCCGTGTGTTTTTACACAAAGAGCATAAAGAGAAGCGGAGCGGGAGTGATGCTCCGGAGATCTGCTCTGAGCTTACAGGAGGCTAGATGAGACCGTTATCTGGAGGAGTGGGCCGGGGGGTCTGCCTCTGGCCCCGCTCGTGAGCCCCTGGGGTCACATTCTCTCCATCTGCAATCTTCAGACGTGCTAATAGGCCTCTTCAACAGCAAGCACTGTTCTGGCCTTTAGACATGCTCTTCTCCCTACTCATGAATGCTGGGGTGATTTTGACTCCCAGACATGATGACAGAGGTCTCTGCATCCCATTAAAGTGTGCCTCCCCCCCCCCCCCCCAAACAGACCGGCAGTGTGGGCACTTCCTGTAGGGATGCCGAATCGGGAAAGTGTGACGTGACCTTGATCCTCTCTCCTGATCGAAGTGTTCATGTTTAGGGGAAGATGTTTCAAATGTTTCCTTTTTAGGTCAATTTATCGACGACTATTTATCAAGATGTTTTCATTTATGATGCTGGCACTTCACTTATTTGGACGTATGTCTTAAATGCCGGGAATCAGGCTGTAAATCTGTAATACAATGTGGAGCCACACACACAGTCACACACACACACACACACACACACAGACTACAGCTTCACACACAGTCACACACACACACACACAGACTACAGCTTCACACACAGACACACACAGTCACACACACAGACTACAGCTTCACACACAGACACACACACACAGACTACAGCTTCACACACAGACACACTCTGAGAGCATGAAGGAATTTCACATTACAGTGACAGTCATTATGATTCGTGGGGATCCGGCATGTGGCGTGTGAACCCGGTGGGTGTTTCTCTGGGGGGGGGGGGGGGGGGTCTCAGTGGGACAAACAGCATCTGGCTCATCCACTTAAGATCCAGTTTCCATATCAGACTCCCAGCCTCAAACCTCCACAGCTCAGGGTCTGAGAGCGAAGAGGTTAAAGCCACGCAGAAGCCATACAGTAAAGCTGGAAGATGTTAGGAACCTCAGATGGAAAGAGGCCTGCTGACGTGATTTACTGGGGTGAAGTGGGTCATGCGCCTCTGTGCTCTCCCCACATGGTCCTGCTTTAGCGTAGCATTAGCCCCAGGCCCATATCCACATGGTTCCGAAACCCATATCTGTGCTGTGATAAGTCTACCCCCCTACTGCTGTGTGGGTCAGCCGGCCCGGTCCGGAGAGCACTCACCACTCATGCCACCTCGGGGGAATGGAGCCCGTTATCAGCCCGTTTCCGTGTGATCGTGCACCCTCAGGGAGGGGGCCGCCCGCCTCTGAAGTTCCCAGAGCATGCTGGGACCTGGCCGTGCTGTGTCAGCTCCTCTTTACGTCGGCGTCTATTCTGACTGCCACGAGCGTGAGCTCAAATCAATCAAAACACACGTGTTTTCAGACACAGCGGACACAGGTTTGGCACCGGCCGCCATCTCTGTTGGCACGTCCCTACTTGCACACGCACACGTATGTAAACACACACGTATCCATTTCCCAGCCGAGGATTCCCCAGCAGAGATGGATGTGCTGCTGTCTGATGAGGGCACAGGCTGATGTCTGATTAATGTTGTGCTGGGATCCAAAGAGTTTTGAAATTTCCGCATGTAAATGGCTGCACTGGCTTCTACTCATTTCAGCCCATAGGATGAAAAGAATTTTGAATCACTTTTCTCCTATATCCCCCCTACTTTAGCAAGAACATCGAGAAGTACTTAAGGTGGTGGCTTCACCGTCTTAAGGGACATGTGTCCATGGGCAAGATGAAGACCTTCTCCTCCTTCTGAATGTCCCTCTGAGGCTCTCCTGTAGACAGGGAGACATTTCACATCACTGACGATCTGCTTCGTTAATGAGCTGGATCTGTAGCGGACATGTTTTCTTTACTCCTTTGTCTCCACCAGGATCTGGAGAGCTTGGAGTCCCAGCTGAAGGAGGTGCGCTTCTTCGACCTGTTCGGCTACAGCGAGAGCGCTGGAGACTGGCTCTGTTTCATGTGCAACAACCCCGAGAAGGCCGCAGGTAAGGGGCTGGTATGCGGAATACGCAGGCTGGGGCAAGAAGGCGGGGGCAGGAAGGCGGGGGCAAGAAGGCGGGGAGGGC